AAAAAAAAAAAAAAAAAAAAGGAGGAACGTGATCGTTCGGCGACGTCGAGTGTCGAGTGAAGGAAGACTCTTAGTCGCAGCAGCTTAACATCTTCGCAAGTTTTAGTCACGAGTCGACGTGTTCAGTCGCAATGTACTCGAGTCGATGCACCGAGTTGCGCTGCCTTGTGTCTTAATTATTCGAAACTCAGTTGCTAGACTCTGACTAACCGTGAGTAGCTAGACTGCGGATTTTTATAAATTCATGGGCAACTGGAAGTTGCAAACAACGCGAGAACGCCTGCAATGCGCAAAATATGTAAAGCAAATTTCTCTAAACTTCTGTCTTTACGCCGCTTTTGTAAGAACACTCTTCAGGAAGATGAATGAAACTGTGGCAAAGAAGGATGTACAGTTCTTCTAGAGAAGAATAATCACACGACGAATTGAAAAATTTTATGAATTCACTTTCGCTCTCACGACTTCGAAAAATGAATGTATTGCAACGATAAACGCAGGGTATTGTTTTATAAAAACCAACAATGTACTAACTTGCATTGCATAGTAAATAAAAAGTCGTGTAAAAGTCGTAGGAACCGTACAGATGAACGTGAAAGAGAAAAAACAGAGGGAAGGAAGATGCTAACAAGAGACAGCATCTACATCGAAGATAGCACCTAGATTAATATTTGCCATGGTTTACCGGCATAAGCAAATTTAGAACACTGATAAGCTCAGGATGACACGTGCAATGCTTGGACGATTCTCAAAATTCGTCGCTATCAGCTAGAGTTTCGTATCATTCGATTTGAATTGCCGGTTGCTGAACGATCCGCAGCGAAACTTCCCTCTTGAATTTCGTCCAATAAATCTACGCGCTGGTAGTCATGGTTGCTGGGATTTCGACAACGATACGCTACACGTAATAACCCGAGACCGACGCATTACATTACATCGAGCTGCCGAAGAAAATGCTCGGCTGAACGCAACGTCGTTAATCCTTAATTTTGGAATTTCCAAGTTCGTTTGATTCTTTTTCGAATCTACTTATTAGTTAAACATTAATCATAATTAGTCCCAAGAGCATTCTATTGATAATTGGAATTTGGATTCAAATAGATCTGCAATTTTCCTTCGCCTTCAAGAGTCGAAATCCGAATTCCTGCTACGAACTTTAGGACAAAGGATCGAAAGTTAAAT